CCAAAACATCTCGAAATCACCCCAAAACAAACACAAAAAAACAGCCAAAACCTCCCCAAAATCTGCCCCCAAAATCCCATGCAAAATCTCCTCAAATTCTCCCAACTCACCCTCAAATCCCTCAAAAATCTTCCTCAAAATCCCCTCCCACACCCCCAAAATCCCCCACCCAAAAAACGACAAAAAAACCACAAAAAACTCAAAAATCCTCCAAAAATCTTCCTAAAACCCCCTCACAACCCCCTCAAAAAAACCCTAAAAATCCTCCCAAAATCCCAATAAAAAACCCCAAATATTCCCCTGAAACGCCAAAAAAACTCCTCAAAAACCCCCTAAAAAAATCAAAAACCCCCCCAAACCCCCAAAACCAGAAGAATAAACGAACTAAAAGCTGTGATTTTTAATTTGGGGAGGGGTCTCCGGGGCTGCCGAGGGGGTGCAGCAGCACGGCGCGGCCCTGCAGCCCCGCGGCGCGGCCGCCAGGGGGCAGCACGAAGGCGCATGCGCAGCGGCGCGGGCTCAGCTCCCGCAGCTGGCCGTTGCTGGCCTCGAGCTCGCGCAGCGCCCAGAGCTGCGGCCGGGGGCTCTTCCCCTGCAGCGCCAGCACCAGCAGCCGCGACCCCAGACCCAATTCGGGGCCACTCGAGGACCCCAGACCCAATTCGGGGTCACTCTGCCTGTCCGGGACCCCCGAGCCCCGCGCGGACCCCAGACCCAATTCAGGGGGACCCGGGACCCCTGACCGAAGCGGGGACCCCAGACCCAATTCGGGGCCACTCGGGACCCCCAGACCCAATTCGGGGGGACCCGGGGACCCCAGACCCAATTCGGGGGGACTCGGGGACCCCAGACCCAATTCGGGGGGATCCAGGACCCCCGACCCAAATGGAGACCCCAGACCCAATTCGGGGTCACTCTGCCTGTCCGGGACCCCCAATAGAGACACCAGACCTAATTCGGGGAGATTTGGGGACCCCAGACCCAATTCTGGGGGATTTGAGGACCCCAGACCCAATTCAGGGGGATTTGAGGACCCCAGACCCAATTCAGGGGGATTTGAGGACCCCAGACCCAATTCAGGGGGATTTGGGGACCCCAGACCCAATTCGGGCTCACCCAGCCCCTTCGGGACCCCAGACTCAATTGGAGACCCCAGACTTAAATCCCGCAACCCTGGCTCAATTTCTGAGCCCCCAGACTCTAAATGGGGGCACCCCTGGGCCTGAGACCCCTCCCTAAATTGGGAGCCCCCAGACTCTAAATGGGGGCACCCCTGGGCCTGAGACCCCTCCCCCAGACCCAATTCGGGCTCACCCATCCCCTTCGGGACCCCAGACTCAATTGGAGACCCCAGACTTAAATCCCGCAACCCTGGCTCAATTTCTGAGCCCCCAGTCTCTAAATGGGGGCACCCCTGGGCCTGAGACCCCTCCCCAAATTGGGAGCCCCCAGACTCTAAATGGGGGCACCCCTGGGCCTGAGACCCCTCCCCAAATTGGGAGCCCCCAGACTCTAAATGGGGGCACCCCTGGGCCTGAGACCCCTCCCCAAATTGGGAGCCCCCAGACTCTAAATGGGGGCACCCCTGGGCCTGAGACCCCTCCCCAAAATGGGAGCCCCAAGACTCTAAATGGGGGCACCCCTGGGCCTGAGACCCCTCCCCAAATTGGGAGCCCCCAGACTCTAAATGGGGGCACCCCTGGGCCTGAGACCCCTCCCCAAATTGGGAGCCCCCAGACTCTAAATGGGGGCACCCCTGGGCCTGAGACCCCTCCCCAAATTGGGAGCCCCCAGACTCTAAATGGGGGCACCCCTGGGCCTGAGACCCCTCCCCAAATTGGGAGCCCCCAGACTCTAAATGGGGGCACCCCTGGGCCTGAGACCCCTCCCCAAATTGGGAGCCCCCAGACTCTAAATGGGGGCACCCCTGGGCCTGAGACCCCTCCCCAAATTGGGAGCCCCCAGACTCTAAATGGGGGCACCCCTGGGCCTGAGACCCCTCCCCAAATTGGGAGCCCCCAGACTCTAAATGGGGGCACCCCTGGGCCTGAGACCCCTCCCCAAATTGGGAGCCCCCAGACTCTAAATGGGGGCACCCCTGGGCCTGAGACCCCTCCCCAAATTGGGAGCCCCCAGACTCTAAATGGGGGCACCCCTGGGCCTGAGACCCCTCCCCAAATTGGGAGCCCCCAGACTCTAAATGGGGGCACCCCTGGGCCTGAGACCCCTCCCCAAATTGGGAGCCCCCAGACTCTAAATGGGGGCACCCCTGGGCCTGAGACCCCTCCCCAAATTGGGAGCCCCCAGACTCTAAATGGGGGCACCCCTGGGCCTGAGACCCCTCCCCAAATTGGGAGCCCCCAGACTCTAAATGGGGGCACCCCTGGGCCTGAGACCCCTCCCCAAATTGGGAGCCCCCAGACTCTAAATGGGGGCACCCCTGGGCCTGAGACCCCTCCCCAAATTGGGAGCCCCCAGACTCTAAATGGGGGCACCCCTGGGCCTGAGACCCCTCCCCAAATTGGGAGCCCCCAGACTCTAAATGGGGGCACCCCTGGGCCTGAGACCCCTCCCCAAATTGGGAGCCCCCAGACTCTAAATGGGGGCACCCCTGGGCCTGAGACCCCTCCCCAAATTGGGAGCCCCCAGACTCTAAATGGGGGCACCCCTGGGCCTGAGACCCCTCCCCAAATTGGGAGCCCCCAGACTCTAAATGGGGGCACCCCTGGGCCTGAGACCCCTCCCCAAATTGGGAGCCCCCAGACTCTAAATGGGGGCACCCCTGGGCCTGAGACCCCTCCCCAAATTGGGAGCCCCCAGACTCTAAATGGGGGCACCCCTGGGCCTGAGACCCCTCCCCAAATTGGGAGCCCCCAGACTCTAAATGGGGGCACCCCTGGGCCTGAGACCCCTCCCCAAATTGGGAGCCCCCAGACTCTAAATGGGGGCACCCCTGGGCCTGAGACCCCTCCCCAAATTGGGAGCCCCCAGACTCTAAATGGGGGCACCCCTGGGCCTGAGACCCCTCCCCAAATTGGGAGCCCCCAGACTCTAAATGGGGGCACCCCTGGGCCTGAGACCCCTCCCCAAATTGGGAGCCCCCAGACTCTAAATGGGGGCACCCCTGGGCCTGAGACCCCTCCCCAAATTGGGAGCCCCCAGACTCTAAATGGGGGCACCCCTGGGCCTGAGACCCCTCCCCAAATTGGGAGCCCCCAGACTCTAAATGGGGGCACCCCTGGGCCTGAGACCCCTCCCCAAATTGGGAGCCCCCAGACTCTAAATGGGGGCACCCCTGGGCCTGAGACCCCTCCCCAAATTGGGAGCCCCCAGACTCTAAATGGGGGCACCCCTGGGCCTGAGACCCCTCCCCAAATTGGGAGCCCCCAGACTCTAAATGGGGGCACCCCTGGGCCTGAGACCCCTCCCCAAATTGGGAGCCCCCAGACTCTAAATGGGGGCACCCCTGGGCCTGAGACCCCTCCCCAAATTGGGAGCCCCCAGACTCTAAATGGGGGCACCCCTGGGCCTGAGACCCCTCCCCAAATTGGGAGCCCCCAGACTCTAAATGGGGGCACCCCTGGGCCTGAGACCCCTCCCCAAATTGGGAGCCCCCAGACTCTAAATGGGGGCACCCCTGGGCCTGAGACCCCTCCCCAAATTGGGAGCCCCCAGACTCTAAATGGGGGCACCCCTGGGCCTGAGACCCCTCCCCAAATTGGGAGCCCCCAGACTCTAAATGGGGGCACCCCTGGGCCTGAGACCCCTCCCCAAATTGGGAGCCCCCAGACTCTAAATGGGGGCACCCCTGGGCCTGAGACCCCTCCCCAAATTGGGAGCCCCCAGACTCTAAATGGGGGCACCCCTGGGCCTGAGACCCCTCCCCAAATTGGGAGCCCCCAGACTCTAAATGGGGGCACCCCTGGGCCTGAGACCCCTCCCCAAATTGGGAGCCCCCAGACTCTAAATGGGGGCACCCCTGGGCCTGAGACCCCTCCCCAAATTGGGAGCCCCCAGACTCTAAATGGGGGCACCCCTGGGCCTGAGACCCCTCCCCAAATTGGGAGCCCCCAGACTCTAAATGGGGGCACCCCTGGGCCTGAGACCCCTCCCCAAATTGGGAGCCCCCAGACTCTAAATGGGGGCACCCCTGGGCCTGAGACCCCTCCCCAAATTGGGAGCCCCCAGACTCTAAATGGGGGCACCCCTGGGCCTGAGACCCCTCCCCAAATTGGGAGCCCCCAGACTCTAAATGGGGGCACCCCTGGGCCTGAGACCCCTCCCCAAATTGGGAGCCCCCAGACTCTAAATGGGGGCACCCCTGGGCCTGAGACCCCTCCCCAAATTGGGAGCCCCCAGACTCTAAATGGGGGCACCCCTGGGCCTGAGACCCCTCCCCAAATTGGGAGCCCCCAGACTCTAAATGGGGGCACCCCTGGGCCTGAGACCCCTCCCCAAATTGGGAGCCCCCAGACTCTAAATGGGGGCACCCCTGGGCCTGAGACCCCTCCCCAAATTGGGAGCCCCCAGACTCTAAATGGGGGCACCCCTGGGCCTGAGACCCCTCCCCAAATTGGGAGCCCCCAGACTCTAAATGGGGGCACCCCTGGGCCTGAGACCCCTCCCCAAATTGGGAGCCCCCAGACTCTAAATGGGGGCACCCCTGGGCCTGAGACCCCTCCCCAAATTGGGAGCCCCCAGACTCTAAATGGGGGCACCCCTGGGCCTGAGACCCCTCCCCAAATTGGGAGCCCCCAGACTCTAAATGGGGGCACCCCTGGGCCTGAGACCCCTCCCCAAATTGGGAGCCCCCAGACTCTAAATGGGGGCACCCCTGGGCCTGAGACCCCTCCCCAAATTGGGAGCCCCCAGACCAGACCCAATTCGGGCTCACCCATCCCCTTCGGGACCCCAGACTCAATTGGAGACCCCAGACTTAAATCCCGCAACCCTGGCTCAATTTCTGAGCCCCCAGTCTCTAAATGGGGGCACCCCTGGGCCTGAGACCCCTCCCCAAATTGGGAGCCCCCAGACTCTAAATGGGGGCACCCCTGGGCCTGAGACCCCTCCCCAAATTGGGAGCCCCCAGACACAAATTGGGAGCCCCCAGACCCAAAACAAGATCCCTGCCCCAAACCCCGCAGCCCTTCCTGGCACTGAGACCCCTCCCCAAATTGAGGCCCCTCCTGAAATAAGGACCCCAATGACCCAAGGTGGGAGCCCCCAGACCCATTTTGGAAGCCCCCAGCCCCAAATCCCTGGGCGTGGAAGACGTTGGGGATCTCGGGGTCCCTCTGGAATCGGGGTCCGAGCGGCTCCTGGGGGGGCACGGCCACGAGCAGCCCTGCAATTGGGGAGGGGGCTTCAGAGGGAGAGCCCTCAATAGGCTATGAGCAGCCCTGCAATTGGGGAGGGGGCTTCAGAGAGGGAGCCCTGGAATTGGGGAGGGGGCTTCAGAGAGAGAGCCCCGGAATTAGGGAGGGGGCTTCAGAGGGAGAGCCCTGGAATTGGGGAGGGGGCTTCAGAGGGAGAGCCCTCAATAGGCTATGAGCAGCCCTGCAATTGGGGAGGGGGCTTCAGAGGGAGAGCCCTGCAATTGGGGAGGGGGCTTCAGAGAGAGAGCCCCCAATGGGCCAGGAGCAGCCCCGGAATTGGGGAGGGGGCTTCAGAGGGAGAGCCCTGCAATTGGGGAGGGGGCTTCAGAGAGAGAGCCCCCAATGGGCCAGGAGCAGCCCCGGAATTGGGGAGGGGGCTTCAGAGGGAGAGCCCTGCAATTGGGGAGGGGGCTTCAGAGAGAGAGCCCCCAATGGGCCAGGAGCAGCCCCGGAATTGGGGAGGGGGCTTCAGAGGGAGAGCCCTGCAATTGGGGAGGGGGCTTCAGAGAGAGAGCCCCCAATGGGCCAGGAGCAGCCCCGGAATTGGGGAGGGGGCTTCAGAGGGAGAGCCCTGCAATTGGGGAGGGGGCTTCAGAGAGAGAGCCCCCAATGGGCCAGGAGCAGCCCCGGAATTGGGGAGGGGGCTTCAGAGGGAGAGCCCTGCAATTGGGGAGGGGGCTTCAGAGAGAGAGCCCCCAATGGGCCAGGAGCAGCCCCGCAGAGGGAGCCCCCAGCCCCCCAAGGCAGGATACGGGACGAGCAGGGGCCGCCCCCCCAGCAGGTGCCGCAGGATCCGGCCCCGGTTGGGCCCCCCCAGCCCCCCCTGGAGCAGCTCGGCCCGGCACGGGAGCAGCTCCTGGGCCAGCGAGGCCAGCTGGGCAGCTGCCCCAAAAATACCCCATGAGCATCCCAAAAACATCCCAAAAATATCCTGAAAATATCCTGAAAATATCCTGAAAACATCCCAAAAATATCCCAAAAATATCCCGAAAACATCCCAAAAATATCCCAAAAATATCCCGAAAACAGCACATAAACATCCAAAAAATATCCCAAAAATATCCCATAAACATCCCAAAAATATCCCAAAAATATCCCAAAAACATCCCGAAATTATCCTGAAAATATCCCATAAACATGCCAAAAATATCCCAAAAATATCCCAAAAACATCCCGAAATTATCCTGAAAATATCCCATAAACATGCCAAAAATATCCCAAAAATATCCCATAAACATCCCAAAAATATCCCAAAAATATCCCAAAAACATCCCGAAATTATCCTGAAAATATCCCATAAACATGCCAAAAATATCCCAAAAATATCCCAAAAACATCCTGAAAATATCCCATAAGCATCCCATAAACATCCCAAAAATAGCACATAAACATCCCGAAGATATCCCGAAGATATCACGAAAATATCCCAAAAACATCCCAAAAACAGCACATAAACATCCCATAAACGTCCCAAAAACATCCCAAAAATATCCCAAAAACAGCACATAAACACCCTGAAAATATCCCATAAACATCCCAAAAATACCCCAAAAACAGCACATAAACACCCTGAAAATATCCCAAAAATATCCCAAAAATACCCCATAAGCATCCCAAAAATATCTCAAAAGTACCCCATAAACATCCCAAAAATATCTCAAAAATATCCCAAAAACAGCATGTAAACGTCCCGAAAACACCCCAAAAACATCCCAAAAACAGCACACAAACATCCCATAAACGTCCCATAAACATCCCATAAGCATCCCAAAAATATCCCAAAAATATCCCATAAACATCCCAAAAATATTCCATGAACATCCCAAAAACATCACAAAAATATCCCAAAAACAGCACATAAACATCCCAAAAAACATCCCAAAAATATCCCATAAACATCCCAAAAACATCCCAAAAATATCCCAAAAATATCCCATAAACATCCCAAAAATATCCCATAAACATCCCATAAAGATCAGAAAAATAACCCCAAAAACATCCCAAAAATATCCCATAAACATCCCAAAAACATCCTCAGAATCATCCCAAAATCAACCCAAAATCAACCCAAAAAACCAGCAAAAATAGCCCAAAATCACCCCAAAAACCACCCTAAAAACATCCAAAAATCACCCCAAAATTACCCCAAAAACATCCTGAGAATCACCCCAAAATCACCCCAAAACCATCCCAAAAACATCCCAAAAATCACCCCAAAAACATCCCAATCCCAAAAATATCCCATAAACATCCCAAAAATATTCCATGAACATCCCAAAAACATCACAAAAATATCCCAAAAACAGCACATAAACATCCCAAAAAACATCCCAAAAATATCCCATAAACATCCCAAAAATATTCCATGAACATCCCAAAAACATCACAAAAATATCCCAAAAACAGCACATAAACATCCCAAAAAACATCCCAAAAATATCCCATAAACATCCCATAAAGATCAGAAAAATAACCCCAAAAACATCCCAAAAATATCCCATAAACATCCCAAAAACATCCTCAGAATCATCCCAAAATCAACCCAAAATCAACCCAAAAAACCAGCAAAAATAGCCCAAAATCACCCCAAAAACCACCCTAAAAACATCCAAAAATCACCCCAAAATTACCCCAAAAACATCCTGAGAATCACCCCAAAATCACCCCAAAACCATCCCAAAAACATCCCAAAAATCACCCCAAAAACATCCCAAAAATCACCCCAAAATGACCCCACAAACATCCCAAAACCGGCCTGAGAATCGCCCTAAAAACGTTTCAAAAACAGCCCAAAGCCAAAATCCCCCAAAACCCCCCCAGGACCCCCCCAGGACCCCCCCAAAACCCACCCAGGACCCCCCAAAAT